CCCCTGCCTGAAATGCCTCCATTGGACTCCTTTGTTTACTTTAGTAACATAATGACATCACTATGTAACACTTCTGCTTCTGTTGGTTAGCGGCCCAACACAGTGTGCATGTGTTAACATTCAGGTAAATGTGTTACCAATTTGTGTTTGTTATTTGTTGTGCATGACTGGAAGCCAATAGCGATATGATAATGGAGGGCATTACTGACACACCCCTAGGCGGTTGACCAATCACAACAGAGGTGGCGAGCTAACCCATCAGAGCAGACTGGGCTCTGGTTTCAGACAGAAGATGACAAGAGGTGCTAAAATAAAGACCTTATTGAACATTAAAGCATGGACACATGTCACAGTAGAGGCCCAAAATACAAATATGAACCTAAATAATAGGTAATATGTCCTCTTTAATACTCATTTACACACACAAAATGAGTTTTAATTGGTTTCTCTAGGATCCCATGCATGTCTCTGGTCTCCTACCTAGATTTCAGTCTGAACAATTTGAATGTCATTTGGCAATTGCACCCTATTGGGGGGTGATGGATCTGTTAAATAGGAAAAGGCATCTATGTAGTCTAAAAATGGGTGCTGTTTACACTGGATATGAAAATGAATATAGTTAAAGATGATTGAACTTACTGAGCTTCTTTAGGAAAAACATGTTATGCAGAGTGTAAATGATTACAGAGCTCAGCTGGATACAATGCTTATTGAAACCAGATGTAAATGCAAATGTGTGGGGTTTGTTATAAAAACAACATATCCAGACACAGTTCACATTTTAATATCAGGTGCAAAATGGGCCAGAAATAATGACAAATACGATACCCCTTAGTAGTTTGATGACAATAACAAAAACATGCTTTGGTGAAGGAGGTGGCACTTTAACAATGTGTTCAATTCCTAAACCAAAAATGAACAATGCAAAACAAATGTTGCAAGGGTAGCCATCCCAAATGTCAGTCAATGAAGACAAAACACAAACAATGTTATTAATTAACACCCTTTCTTGACTTTTTTTCTAATTCTAATAAAAATGATATTTAAATAATAATTAAGCCCAATTAAATATCTGTCATGACTCTCTTTTGCCAATTATTGTGATGAGTTAACCCACAGGCAGCAACAATACTTTTACTAACACCTTAAGTCTGACAGTTTTTTTTCCAGGAAACACCTCCGGCAAACAGGAAACGGTTTGCTCTGCTGTTATTCATTCCCGTTGGGATGGCTAACAGCTCTGCAGGGTTAGCACTCACACAGTGTGTTTCTTAGTGAGGGGGAGTACAGCTCTCTGATCTGCTTATTCATTACACTTATTCATCAATTCACTACGTGAACGGCAGATAACATTAATTAGAAAGACCTGCTTTAAGTGGGGAGTTTCTTTTGCAAATATTATGTCTTTCTGTCTTTAATCTTGTTTTTTGTAAGATCAAGTGTCCAAAAAAGCGTATGTATATTTATCTGAATGATAGCAAAGGGTCTTGCTTAATTACAAACACAGAACCATAATCCAACATGGAAGCCTTATAAGTTATAATGAATGGCTTTGGTTAAGGTTAATACACTAATGCTTTATAGATCCGTTTGAAGTCATTAATATGAAGAGCTGACCTTTATTCTTTCAATTTGTAAATTACACCAATGGGTGTCCCCCTTCTAATGTATTAAGTCCACAGTTCTAATTGCCACTGATTCATTAATACAGGCTTTGTATTTTACCATAATTAATTACATTTATAATACTGTATAACATTCCACCTAAAATGTCTAAAAATTACCAGACAGAGATGTTATATAATTTGTTAGGTTGTGTACTTGCATTATCCCAAATGTGTACAAGTTAAGGGTTAGGGCTGACATACATGTACTTAATATCCAGTATTAAGCACATATTTTGTGATCCTCTTTTAGATATTGGTTGTTTTTACCTCTATATAAAAAAGTGTGAGAAAAGGTTTACTGAGGTGAAACACCTACTGTGTGTGTGTGTGTGTGTGTGTGTGTGTGTGTGTGTGTGTGTGTGTGTGTGTGTGTGTGTGTGTGTGTGTGTGTGTGTGTGTGTGTGTGTGTGTGTGTGTGTGTGTGTGTGTGTGTGTGTGTGTGTGTGTGTGTGTGTGTGTGTGTGTGTGTGTGTGTGTGTGTGTGTTTGCTCTGTGATTCCCTTTAATCCTGACTCGCCCATGTCCTTCAAACCCCAATCAAGGTTGGCATTAATGAGCATTTTTTGCCTCGCCCGCCTCTCTCTCTCATTAAACATTCCCTAATTAACAAGCACTGCTGCTTACTAATGGTGTGTGTGTGTGTGTGTGTGTGTGTGTGTGTGTGTGTGTGTGTGTGGTGTGTGTGTGTGTGTGTGTGTGTGTGTGTGTGTGTGTGTGTGTGTGTGTGTGTGTGTGTGTGTGTGTGTAGTGTGTGTGTGTGTGTGTGTGTGTGTGTGTGTGTGTGTGTGTGTGTGTGTGTGTGTGTGTGTGTGTGTGTGTGTGTGTGTGTGTGTGTGTGTGTGTGTGTGTGTGTGTGTGCCCATAGCAACACTGCTGAGCAATAAATGACTCTAATAAATATCCCCTCCAGTTTTGATTAGCGATGCCTAAAAGTTGGAGGTGATTCAACTCTCTGAGGCTCCGGGGTTCATCTAGTCATGTCTGATCATAACGATTTTTCAACTTCATCAGAATCTGATTCACTCCAGTTGCCAATTTTAATGTGTTCAGAAGTTAGTCAACAATGTGTGGAAATACTTAAAGTACGATGCATACTGTACTAACACAGTACATTGACAACGACTTGCAAATTGCAAGGTCATCTTTTTCCGTACTGCCCTTAACCTTTTTTTTTTTCGCGAAACTGTGTCTTAGGGCTTCTTAACATTTAACAACCTATTAATGTGTCATACCCACTTAACGGGAAGAAACTCAGCTAACTGACTATACGAACCATTTTTAGCTAAACAAAACAAGGGTAATAGGCCTACCAAGTCTCTAAATTAGCACTAAGCGAAAAAAATGTAACACACTTAGCACAGAACTCACGGTAGGAATATTGTATTACTTGTCAGATCTGCACAAACAAGATATCAACTGAAAGCTGATGTTCCACAGATTCTAGAGATATATGTATCATCACTGTGCGACCAGAACTCAGCGAAGGCAAAACCAGACGACACACAACGTAGCTTTACCGAGCCAAAACGGCAAATATGTCTTACCTTTGCTGTTTTCTGATCAAAAGTGGTGTTCAATGGCATTGAAAGGCATACAAGGTGTCAATCATCAAAATCGACAGAGGGGGGCCAGAGATATGGCAAATACACCCAAATGACCCCAGAAGTGGTTTATCACAATTTTTTGCTAAACCACTCTAAAAAGGTCAAAGGTCACTTGTTTTGCATCAATCTTGATACAGGGTACTTATTATATGTTATAGTTTGGATTCCAAAAGCTTTTAGTCTACCATCCCATCATTCAAGGGTGGTTTTCACTATAAGTAATGTGTTTTTTTTGGACGGACACCATAATTTACATTGTTTTACTGTGTTCAATCTGAATTTACTTTAGAAGTGAATATATAGTCTTTTGTTTTGGGAATGTCATTTTCGAGCCTGAGACCTGAAAAACAGGCTCAGGGCTTAACAGGTTAATATCCTACCTTCAATGTTCACACTCAATTAAGATAATATATGATAGGACTTTATTTATCCAGAGTTAAACAGTTACAATAAACCCAGCAACATAATAATAGAAGTAACTTATACATTATAATAATAAAACTGCACACTAGCAGTGCAGTAAAAAAAAAATAATTAAGCAACTATAAAAAACATAGATGGTTCCGACTACACCACTCCACGAACCTGTCCACCACTCTCCTGTACTCGGCTGCCTGATCTCTGCTGATACAGCCCACAATGGCAGTCATCTGAGAATTTCTGCAGATGGCAGGACTGTGAGCAGTGTCTGAAGTCTGATGAGCACTGTGAACATGAAGGGAGAGAGGACCGTGCCCTGAAGAGCGCCTGTCTCAATATAGTGTCAGAGGTGGTGTTCTGCAGCCTCACATACTGTGGCCGAGCTGTGAGGCAGTTTGTAATCCAGCTAACAAGTGGAGCAACATGTATTTCCAGTAGTTTACTGCTACTCTCTGTAGCTCTCTGTATTCAGAATGGCAAACAGTTGTGTTAGTTTAAACTGAATTGTTTTGCATACTCGAGTTTTTTAAGAAACTATAGAACTTAAACCTTCAAGCAGTGATAGACGGGCCGTGGCGTATCCACGCATGTCAGGGGTACTTCCTGTTGACACAGCAGTGAATTGCCATGACCGCTGGAGACTGGCCACATGAGTGAACATAAGTTATTGCATGCAGTTTGATACGCTGAAATCTTAAGATGGTACTGACCAAATGTTAGGTCAATTGGATGATCTGTTGGAGGAGTTTGTTAAGGTACATCACCTGTGAAAAACTGCATACAATTCAAAATGGCCAAGTTCCTGTAGGGTCTACCGCCACGCTCAAAGAGACTATCTTTGCCGTCTCTATGTGATACATACTCCCACCAAATTTCGTAGATAGGGCACATTCACAAAGAAAAACTACTTTTGGTTGGTTTAGGCCCTAGAAAATGCAATTCCCTGCTAAATTCCTCTGTCAGTTCATGAGCCCTAATGATATAAAAAAAAAAATATAATGTTGTGTCGAGTCTCTTTGTGCGTTTCACTATGTTTTGTGAAGTGTTGCAATTTTTTTTGTGTCATCATATGACTGTTGAAAATAAAAAAGGATAAACAATAAAGAAAACACCATGTCAATAAATGGGCTATAATTCCAACTTTTTTTTATGATGATTTTGGTGATGAAATAACATTGTTGCTCATCAAATGTAATTACATGTCTTTTTATTCCCAGTATGACTTCTATGATGCTTAATAACTATTGAGTGAAAAAATGTGCAATAGCGTTAACATCTCTATTTTTCTCTTGCTTTGTGTCTCAGGTGTCGTCATCAGGTGAGGTGGAAACCATGGAGAGGCTGTTGCTGTGTGTGATGCTGGCAGTTGCCATGGCAGTGCGGGCACAGATCTGCCCGAAGCGTTGCGTGTGTCAGATCCTGTCACCGAACCTGGCAACCCTCTGCGCCAAGAAAGGTCTTCTGTTCGTCCCGCCCAACATCGACAGGCACACGGTGGAGCTCCGGCTGGCCGACAACTTTATCACAACGTAAAAGTCCCATCACTGATACCACCAAGAGAACTAGTACTTCAATGCTAATACTAGGTTGCTTTTGGTTTTTCTACCTCACAAGAACAACTCCCAGTACTAATGTTCTTGAAAACAGCTTCATTAATTTCAATGAGACCACAGGTTGGACATTGAGAGGTTTCCCAGGATCATTTAGCAAAAAAAGTTGAACATTGTCAAAATGTGTCGTGGCAAAATTCGGGCTGTTTATTGAACATTGGAGTCTTTAAGGATAAACAAATAAATAATAATATGAAATATTTTTTTGTTAATATGCTGTGTCAAATCACACATTACATATCAAATGTAAATGTGTAATCCATTTTATTGTAAAACAACCTCAACAATTTCCCTTAACGCGTGGCTAAAAACTGTCCAAAATGTTCTTCAAAACTTCACTAGGTAAAATCATTTTCCGATTTATATTTCAGTTGTGTTAGTGAATCTAGTTTTACTAGCAAATAGCCATTAGCTGGTAGCAGCTAGCTTGTTACTAGCTAGTAGCAACTATCAAGTAACAATATCCCTGTTTCCATTTTTTTGTAGCAGGTGCTTCGTCTTCCCTTGTCACTTCTAGATCGTAGAAACTCACTTGAAAGAGTCTTTATTCTTTACTTTGAATGTAATTTCAATACTTTTTAAAGTTTTATTAGACAACCATCTACAATATTAGTCACAGAACACTCCGATGTGTTTTCTACTTTTCCTACTTGCTAGCCACATTCTGAAAGGGGCAGTGGAATTTCTTTATATATTTTATGGTAAATGGTTGAGAATACATATAATTGTAAAATTAGAAGGGAAATTCGTTAACAATTAGAAATGCAGTTAGTTTTATCCAAGGCTCTCACACTGAGATAAGCCTTCAAACTCATGGTTATATTACTCAAACTGGCTTTTAAAAGGCAGTGCTATTTTTGGTCTGGCCACCTGCCAATGCTATGCTACCAGCCTACCACTTGTAATTACCTCTAATGGGCCTAGTACTAGTTCATTGTATCATCCCTACTGTAAGGGATGCTACAGCTTCCTCTGCTAATGCCTTTCACCAAACCACAAAACTACTGAAAATAGTGAAAGCAGGAAAAGCTACCGTAGCTAATACTAGAATACTGGTACTATTATAACAACTATAACACCCACAAAGTTACTATTTAAAATATTATACTTTTCTTGTGCTTTACACCCACATAATTGAGTGATTAATATATTCTCAAAATCAGTTTGAATTATAATAATAATTTAAAGCTGAATTACGACTTTATTGACAAGTAATAACAACCTATATCTAATACCACAAGAACTACATATACCAGTTCTTGGAAAGTTAGGTTTAATTGTGTGAGAATTAACTATTTTTCTCCCAAGCTGGAAACAGAGACATTGCTCTCTGACGTCAGACGAGGAAGCCCTGAGCTGCTTTGGCGGAGATTAATACGTTGCTGGATTTTTGGACTGAGCGGCATCGCCCAGAGCGCTTTTTATGACGATGCAAGCACATTACCCACCAGCACTACAATGAAATAAAACTAATTTAGGTGTGAAAAAAGCACTTACCCTAGAGGAAGTCATAGTGGGTTCATAGTCAATGGAGCAGCTCAAGGCTGATGGCAGTGCAGTTATATTTCACACAGGCTCCGCCCTCTACTGGACTCTATGGGCACTACTCTCTATCATGCTGTGCATGCTTTCACCTACTGAGTTTACGTAAACGTAGCCGGCCAATCAGGGCGAGCCTACCTGAATGCGTGCGCAGGCCCACAGTATATAAAGGCGGCTACACCTGCCGCCCACTATCCTTTTTCTCTTCAGACGAGCTGACAACCGAAGAGTTAAACGAACGAAGAATAGAAGATTAGAAGGAAAAATTAACTCACCATTACTGGAAGCTCGGCCATGCACCTGCCCTGGTTTGATCGCGGGCGCCGGTCTCCACCACCTCTGCTTAGAGTGTTAGAGGGACCAGGATATGGCCGAGGCGTTGCCATTCACGTCCCCATTCCAGCGGGGCGGATGGCTCCGTTTGCCGTTGTCGGGCACTTCCGGGTCCGGTCCATGGACGTCCACCGCCCTATGTGATGACCATGGCGGCGGAGCGCAGCTGCTCCCAGCGGGCAACAGGCTGGGCAGGGAGCTGAAAACAGCTCTGCCACGCTACCGCGTGACAAGGCGACTGCAAATAAACACGGGTGTGTTGGGCATCTCACTCATTGCTGGAGATGCCCCCACCTCACCAGATCAGAGCGATTATTTGTAGCTTGATCGTGGCCGCTGCCGCTGTCTGCCGTGTGATATCCCGGTGAGGGATCACGCCGCATGGCACTTTCCAAAAGGACCGTGTTGTTGATCTCTCGGGCCGGGAGCCCCCGTGTTTACGGAAGGGCTCTTTGGATCGATGTCCTTAGGCGCGTTCACACCGCAGTACTTTTCCCACTTTAGTTCCGATATAGTTCCGAAATGTTGCGTTCACACCAAAAAGAGCCGGACAAAAATTAGTTCATGAGAACCTTTTCACCCCCTTTTCCGTCCCTGCTAGAGAGCAGGGACTTTCGTGGGAGAAAAAGGTTCCTATGTCTGATTGGCTGGGCGGATTGCAAACCATGCCCCGTAAAACTCCCAAAAAGTTTTGTGAAGCCGCCATTTTATTATCCTCGCATTAGCAGTATTAGCATTAGCATTAGCCCAGCGCAGAAACGCAGAGAGACTAACTTATGGCAACACAAAATAAAACATGGGAGCGGTGGAGGTGTCGGCGTTCTGGCGATTTACTCGGAAGGCTTCAGTAGAAGCCAGTCCCCAACTCCGGGGACTTCCGGCCGGGGACTTTGGGCGGCAGTAGACGCCGTGAAGTGGTTTGCGGCCTGCCAGTAAACCCAAAGCAGAAGAAGAAGAGGTGACGTCAGCGGCTTCATTTGCCTAATCCTCCCCCAGGGACTTATTCCGGTGTGAACGCGATCTGTACTTAGTTCATGAGAACTAAAGAGTTCTCATGAACTAAGTTCTCATGAACCTTTGTGGGAAAAGTACTGCGGTGTGAATGCGCCTATTGGTTACGTGGGTGAGGAGTAGTCGCAGCGTGGCTGCTTCTTGCTCATCCCCAGAGGAAATAACACTGGCCCACACTCCCCGCTCCCTCTGTAAACTCCAGTATAGGAGCCAGCAGGTGGGAGCGTGCACGTGAGTGGAATAAACCGAAGTGCTGTCAAAACACTGTGCGGGTTCAAGAGAGAGTGATGTGTGTGTGAGAAACGCATTCAGTGAAAACAATTGCATTTATCCCAGAGTAAGAGTAATCTCTCTCCACATTTCCACTTTTCACCATAATGTCCGTTTCAAAGAGACTTTCCTTTCAACGGGAAGTCGAAAAGAGGCCCTGTTGCATGAACCGTGGGTTACGTATTGTAACCCTAGTTCTAGAGTGTTGTGTGTGTGTGAAAAATGCATTTTGTAAAAACTATGGCATTTATCCCAGAGTAATCTACTCCCTATCCCCACGCACGCTACGGCGCTGCAACCGCTGCGGGACCATGAACAATGACATGAGGGTGTTATTTTATCTGGGCGACCTCATAGTCATAGCCAGGTCCAGGGAATGGGCAATGTTTCACCCAATTGATCCTACACCTAACCAAGTAGGGTTGAAAAAGAGTTGCGGTCAATTGGAAGAAGAGCTCCCCCATACCTCACCAGCAGGTAGAATATCTGGGGGTGATGCTCGATGCAGGCAGACTACGTGCCACCCTGACAGAAAGCAGCAGGCATCCCTGCTGCGGGCAGTCTGCAGGCTGTGTCAGGGGGCGACGGTGACAGCTTTGATCATCATGCAGACTTTGGGTCTCATGACGGCTGCTCACTCCGTAGTGCCACTCGGACTTCTGCATACAGAGGTGGCTTACCGGCCTTCGTTTAGATCTCAAGACACAAACGACGTCTGGTGATCATCCCCCCCTCAGTAGAGAGCAACCTCCGATTCTGGGGGTCCCCAGAGAATCTGCGGAGGGGAGCTCCACTGGGGCAAGTGACCTCCTATATCACAGTCTTTACAGACGCTTCAGTGACAGGATGGGGGGGGACGTGCATAGAGAGAGCTGTAGGTGGTTGCTGGCCTCTGACAGAGGCTCGGCACAGCAACCTCCTGGAGCGGCAAGCAGTGATGCTGGTCCTACAGCACTTCAAACCCTTAATACAGGGCAAACATGTGCTAGTGAGGAGCGACAACCGCACCACAGTGGTGTACATCAACAGGCAAGGCGGAGTCCGCTCAATAGCCTTGTTGACCGGGGCAGAGAACCTGTGGTTGTGGGTTTCACAGATTGTGTTGTCTCTAAGGGCCCTGCACATCCCGGGACGGGAGAACGGGGGGGCCGACCTCATGTCAAGAGGCGGACCCCTGCCAGACGAGTGGAGGCTTCACCCGGAGGTGGTGAAGCAGTTCTGGACTCAGTTCGGGAGAGCAGAGGTGGACCTGTTCGCCAATCAATCAATCAATCAATGTTTATTTATATAGCCCAATATCACAAATGTTACATTTGTCTCAGTGGACTTCACAGTTTGTACAAAATATCAGTATGACAATATGCCAATCGGCGCAACAGCCACTGTGCCCTGTGGTTCTCCCTGGCCCGGTGGGACAATCCGCCCTTGGGGGTGGACGCATTTGCATACGAGCCATGGCCAAGGAAGCTGCTTTACGCCTTTCCACCGCTGCACCTTATCCCCCCCCTTCTGGATAGGGTGAGGCGGGAGCAGCTGTCAGTCATCCTAGTGGCCCCAGATCGCCGCCTGGCGCCGTGGTACGCGGGGTAACACAGATGATGGTGGGCCAGCCCTGGGCTATTCCTCAGGTCTGGGGAGCGCTGTCTCAGGAAGCAGGGGCAATAGGGGCGTTACCCACTCTGGGCCAACCTCTCCAGGCTTGGCTCCTGAGAGGGACAGGCTGAGACAGGTGGGGCTGTCTGACAACGTTATTCAGACTATCCAAGCAGCAGGAGCAGAATCCACCACAGCCTGTTACAGGCCAAAGTGGGCGGGATTCCGGCGATGGTGTGAAGGAAGGAGTCTAGAGCCTCTGTCATGCACGCTGGGCTCTATTCTTACCTACTTACAGATACTGGTGGACAGGACTCTGGCTCATTCCACAATTAAGGTGTTTGCAGCAGCCATTTCGTCCTGCCATGAGGGATTTGGAGGCAGGTCAGCCTTCAGTCAGCCGCTTATGTCGCGTTTTTTGCAGGGGGTCAGGAGGCAGCGCCCAGTAGTGCACGCCTCCGCCCCACAGTGGGACCTGCCGTTGGTGCTTGAGGCTCTGGTCACAGAACCATTTGAGCCCCTGGAGCTCTCCTCCCTGAAAGCACTGTCATGGAAGACAGCATTGCTACTTGCCTTGACTTCGGACAAAAGAGTGTCCGAGCTGACCGCTCTGTCGGTGCACCCAAGCTGCCTTTTAATCCGGGGTGACCGTAGCGGGGTGACACTCAGACCGAACCCCTCCTTTGCTCCTAAGAGCCTAAGGAGTTCGTTCAGGTCAAGGGCTATTCAGTTAGGTGGCTTTAATCTTCCACCCCATATTGAGGCCAGGGAGGCTAAATTGCACCTCCTCTGCCCAGTGCGTGCGCTAGCATGTTATGTAGAGCGCACGACTGCCATTAGACGCACTGAACAGCTGTTTGTGTGCTTTGGGGATGGTGTGGCTAGAAAAGCTCTCTCCAAGAAGCGCCTAACAGGATGGCTATGCGGGTGCATTACACATGCCTATGGACGGGCGGGGAGAGCCCTCCCCACTGGGGTCCGTGCGCATTCTACACGGGCTGTGTCAAACAGCCTTATTCAGCAGCATGAGTGAAGAAGATATATGCACGTCGGCGTCTTGGTCTACGCCAGGCTCCTTCATAAAATGTTATCTCCTGGACATGTCTGGCTCCTTCTCGTCATCTTTGCTTGCCGAGGCAACGCATGACTGGTGAGAGGGGGAGTGGCTGTGGGTCAGCAGGTGTCTGACCCCCCCCCCCCCTGGACATAAAGCACTTGTGTTTTCCCATGCTCCTGAGGGACTCGGGAGACATGGTGCGCAATCAGCCCCATACAGGGCTGGAGGCAGGCTGGGAGAGCCTTCCTCACTATTGTCCATGCCCACTCTACACGGAGCGTGTGGGAGTGTGGGGGATGTGGTGCACTTATGTTTTCCCATGCTCCTGAGGGACCTGGGGAACATGGTGCGCGGTAGGCTCCAGACGGAGTCTCCGCACAGATCTTTTCCATGCACACTCTACACGAGGTAAGCGTGTGTGAGTGTGCCTTATCCAAATTGCGGCCCCAACTTCTCTAAGGTTACAACCTGTTGGTAGGAAGTGGGGATGCAATGGATGTTAGCCAAAAGCCGGTCAGGGACGGTGTGGTGGGTCGATATTGTTGGATGACAGGGCGTGTATACATCGAGGCTCCGCCCACTGTACCCATAGAGTCCAGTAGAGGGCGGAGCCTGTGTGAAATATAACAGGGGGTTACGTATTGTAACCCTAGTTATATAAGCACAGGCGGAGCCCTCTACCTGGGGGCCCTGTCTTTCCTAGTCCGCTCGCTGAAGAGTGTATAGGATAGTGGGCGGCGGGTGTAGCCGCCTTTATATACTGTGGGCCTGCGCGCGCATTCAGGTAGACTCGCCCCGATTGGCCGGCTACGTTTACGTAAACTCAGTAGGTGAAAGCACGCACAGCATGATAGAGAGTAGTACCCATATAGTCCAGTAGAGGGCTCCGCCTGTGCTTATATAACTAGGGTTACAATACGTAACCCCCTGTTTCAAGCCTCAGTTCTCTGGATTGTTGCCTTTGGAGAGAGTTGTTCACGCTCAAAAATATTGAATTAACTGCACAGGATCAAAGGAGTACTATATGGGAATTAGGTTTTATATAATTTTTGCTTTTGAATATTAAAACAGTTTTCCTATAAAAGTCCTCTTACACAATATTCAAAGACAAAAATGATACACCACCTTTGTCTAGACTCAATGTTATATGTTAATATATGTTATATATTGTGTTGATTGGTGTTCTTACATCATCTCAAACGTTTCCAACAGTTTAACATGGAAAATGTGTTATTTGAATCCAGGTAGCGTTTTGTATTATAAGGTCTCCTGAAATGGTGGTGTTTAACTTTTTAGAACCTGCGGTTATATGCCAAAACCCCAAAAAGATGTGATAACTGAACTTTGTATCCAATTTTAAGACTAATTTGTTATGATACTCTTATGAGATCTCGGTCTTATTGAACTCTTGAATGGATTTTAATGATCTGAAATCTGAATCTTATGCAAAATGCACTTTTGTACGTCTTTTATACATGAATATGTGTCCCCGGTGTTCCAGGGAACTCACCAAGTGTCAGAAAACACAACCCCCTCTCTTTTCCTCCATACCCAAATCTCTAAAAAACGGGGCTGCAACGGAGCTGATTATTATTTGAATTTTTCTGACAACAGAAAAGGGGTGCTCCGCCTATATGGGCAACTCTCCACCTATCAGGGGAATGAGAGACCGCTGGAGACGCTGTAGTACATATGCCAGGCCTGTAAGTGGCGCTGTAGTCTGCCACAAAAGCAGAATCAGCCCTTGCAAAAACAGGGCTGGAAAAGAGCAAATAGAGCGAAATGAGGCATGGCTAAAATGCATGATCTGTTTGGTATTTTGAAAAAAAAATTCACAGACATGTTTTATATAGGTATGGCCCTACAATATATGTTTCAAATATAGCATGATAGGTCCACTTTAAGTTATCAGATAAAGAAGCTGAGCAAACGTTAGCTTGAGACGACTGTATCAGACCAACCTGACACATTTATTTTGTGTTTTTATAATGTTTTACCATGGTGCTGCTATTTTCTCAGCTCCAGATTGGACCAAAAACTATGAAGAAATTCTAAGTGAGAAAGGCTAACTGAGATGCTGGCTGGGGACGTTACCAAACTCTGTTTTTAGTTTGTATTTCAATTGAGAGACCCCTTGTGGAAAATTACATATTGTCTGTTTAATCAAAGTTCTGCCTTGTTGGAATTGTCTGTGTTACCAAAAACTCTTGCTTAACCCAAAAGCTGTTCTAGTACCAATCACACATGGTATATGTCTTTGTCTAAGTGAATTGTGCTGATCTGTGTCCACAGTGTGAAGAGGAAAGATTTCGCAAACATGACGCGGCTCGTAGACCTAACATTATCCAGAAACACCATCTCCTTCATCACATCTCACGCCTTTGCCGATATGGAGAACCTTAGAGCTTTACACCTTAACAGGTATGTATATAAACCTAGATGTGTTTGCGGTATGAGATGAAATCCACCTAAGAAATCGGAAGTGTCATAGATTCTTCCAAAGCTACAAAGTTCTGTTTTTCTTAGTTTCTACATTCTCTTTTCTCTCTCTTTTAGTAACCGGCTGACGAGGATAGCCAATGATACGTTCAGCGGGATGTCGAAGCTCCACCACCTGATCCTGAACAACAACCAGCTGGTAGTTATCCACCAGGAAGCGTTCAACGACCTGCTGGCACTGGAAGAGTTGGACCTGAGCTACAATAACCTGGACTCTATTCCTTGGGAGGCCATCCAGGTCAGGATCTCTTTAAACTGCTGCAGCCTTTCAAAACCCTGACTGGCTGGAGGCCATGGGAATAATCCAATCATAAGCACAATGGGATAAAAGGCCATTAAACCTTTTTGCCCATTTATTTGAAATTAAAATGAAGAGATCTTTAGGGCTTTTGGATTGAACTGGGGCCATTATGTGGACTATTCATTAAGCTCCACTGAAGCTTCATTTGTAGACATTTTCAGCGCTAACACTTTCAATTTGTTCTTCGCCAGGCAACAAGCAAATGTCAGGGTCTCTGTGGATCAGCTTACTAACATACTTTGCAACTTAGGATAATTAAAAAATATAGTGATGTTAGATAAATAAGTGCTGTAGTCATTGTTGAGGAGTAACACAATAAATAGGCAGTTACATGCTCAATAGCTAATAAATGAAATGACAAAATAAGTGTAATTGTAATTAAATACAGTCAAATCTAAGCAAATAACAGTTGCTAAACACATTTCCTGTGATTTCAAAGGGGATACATCTGATTATATATATATTTGTAGATAATAATATGTAGTATATAGATAAAACATTTGTGGCAGTAGAAGATTATCAGTTATTTTCCTCTCTTCCAAACTTTTCTGTTAATTATATTTAAAAACAATTAAATAGTTTTGCAGTTATTAGTGTTAAATACTGTTACACGGCCTGGTGTGTGGTGTGTATGTGTTGGGGTTGCTTTACAACCCAGTTTAAAAAATGTGTTAGAAAGCTCAGAAAAAAGTAGTCTAAATTAATATCTGACAAAATTCATATAGTATCATGACTTATTACAGTGATAACAGGGTAAGCTTTCAATCTCTGACCTATTTAACTTTAAAATGAAACTTTACTAACAAAGTAAGTCATTGTTTGTATATTGAGTAACCACAATAGCTTTGTTGTTTTCAGTTAAACTTTACCTTTACAGGTCTCACTAAAAAATCTATTAGGAAGCTGCAGCTAATTCAGAACGCTGCTGCTCGAGTCCTCACTAACACTAAGAAAGTGGATCACATCACTCCAGTTCTGAAGTCTTTACACTGGCTTCCTGTGTGTCAAAGAATAGATTTCAAAATACTGCTGCTGGTTTATAAAGCACTGAATGGTTTAGGCCCCAAAATACATTTCTGACCTCCTGCTAAATTATGAACCATCCAGATCTCTCAGGTCTTCAGGGACTGGTCAGCTTTCTGTCCCCAGAGTCAGAACTAAACATGGTAAAGCAGCATTCAGTTATTATGCTCCAAATATCTGGAACAAACTCCCAGAAACCTGCAGGTCCGCTACAACTCTGACTACTTTTAAATCCAGGCTGAAGACTTTTCTTTTTGTCGCTGCTTTTAATTGAACTATTCATATCTTAGACTGCACTGTAACTTTTATCCATGTACTTTTTTCTTTTAATGTTTAATTGACTGCACTGTAACTTTTATCCATGTATTTTTTCTTTTAATGTTTATTTTATTAGCTTTTCTTTTTAATGACTGATTTTAAATGCCATTTTCTTAATCTCTTTCATTTTTTGTAAAGCACTTTGAATTGCCTTGTGTTGGAAAGTGCTATATAAATAAACTTGCCTTGCCTTAGAATGTGCATGTTAGCATTATTTACTGTAGTTCAACATTTATATCACCACTGTCAAGGAATGCATTAAAAAATGTAAAGTTTAGTGACAATAACCAGGATTGTACTACCTTAAAGAAAACCATTTTCCTCTAGATCCGTTCTTAACCTATTCTACTTCCTCATTTCAAAGTGATACTAAAGTTAACTCTTGCTCTCTGTTCTTTCTACAGAGAATGATTAGCCTCCATACGTTGAGTTTAGACCACAACATGTTGGACTACATCCCAGAGGGAACATTTTCCCTGCTACAGAAACTCAACCGGCTGGACGTCACCTCTAATAAACTCCAAAAGCTGCCACCAGACCCACTTTTTCAACGAGCACAGGTATTATCCAATTCTGGAAAGCAGCAGGCCGAAACATATGTTTTCAATCTCTATTATTGTTATTTGAATAGAACTGGTTGAATTAGACAACTACCAGTGCATATGGGTAATCTGACTCAGATCGTGTCACACTTCCAGGTTCTGGCAACATCAGGGATCATGACTGCCACTTCTTTTGCGTTGTCATTCGGGGGGAACCCTCTCCACTGTAACTGTGAGCTGCTGTGGCTGCGGAGGTTGAACCGAGAAGACGACCTGGAGACGTGCGCTTCACCTCAACAACTCTCTGGGCGCTACTTCTGGTCTGTCCCTGAGGAGGAGTTCCTCTGCGAACCTCCACTCATCACAAGATACTCCCACGAGATGAGGGTGCTTGAAGGCCAGAGAGTTACTCTCAGGTACGTTTTTATGCTTGTCACGATCTTAGTTTTATGTCACGGTTTTAGTTTGGTCTGTCTTGTCATACGGAGGTGGGGAGGTGGGGCCCACATAATAGGTGGGCGTGGATTAAGTCTGTCAGTGCTGCACACGTGCAGTGGGATTACCCAATAGCGATAGCCTTAGAGGGCTGCGCCTATACTCATAGAAGCTGGGTTACAGTACGTAACCCCAGTTTTGTTTGGTGTGTGAGATCCTGGTGGCTGGTGACTGCTCACGTGAACAGCAGATTGAGGCTGTGTCATGCGCCCCAGAGTAATAAATGCCCACACCGGGTTGTATTTTGGACGTTCTGCCTCTGCCTCCTTGCTTGGTCTGGCCGCTCAACGGTCAGCTTCACATTCAATATTGTATGCATTAGATTCTTAAAGAGGCTCTATTATGCTTTTTGGGGATTTCCCTTTCCTTTAGTGTGTTATATAGTTTGTATTGCATGTAAATGGTCTGCAAAGGCTAAAATCCCTGTGTTCCCTAGGGATTTCTCTCCAACACTCTCTCCCCCCCCCTGCCTGAATCGCCTCCATTGTACTCCTTTATTTACTTCCGTAACAATGTGACATCACTATGTAACACTCGCACTTCTATTGGCTAGCGGGACATTTCTGGTACATCTCTAAGAGATCGCCCAATCACAACAGAACCGGCCAGCTAACCAATCAGAACAGACTGGGATCTGCTTTCAGACAGAGGGTGAAAAGAAGTGCACACATGATGCTATAGAACATTATTTCACCAAAGAAAAAAAGCATTAGCAGACCCAGGAAACTAAACAGTGGTTGTTTTTGTGCTTCTTATAGCCAACACACACTTGTTTCCTTTAGTTGATATTCGACCAAGGACTATTTTATTCCTCCCATTTTTCTCAATTGTTTGCATGTTTTCTATTTGTTTCAACGTGTTGTAGTAGTTTCACTTTGTTTTCGTAAACTCATGACTCCATTAGTTTTTTTTGCAAAGTTGTGCTCTTTGTATACCTGGAGGGACCCATTTCTAAAAACTCTGAAACCTTTATCTTTGCAGTCCGTCAGGCCTAACTCATCCTGGTTTACACTCTATATATACTTTTAGCGTTAGGTACAATACCTCATATGTTTTGGGTACATTATACACAGAGTTGGGTGGGTAATAATATTACTTTTGTCGGTAACGGAGTAGTGTAACGCGCTATTTTTATAATTCAGTAATCACACTAGAGTTACTAACATTGCCCCGACACGCGTTACTCCGTTACTTACTAAAATCAGTCATAATCACACTGACAGACAAGAGGGGTTTCCGCCGCAGGTTTATATGTACGTAATCTGCGCGATTTGCGCGTCCACATCTCCACATGCAGTGCTGCATAAACATGGCTGAGTCAGCGATAACTTTCGAGGGGTGGAGGTATGCCCATTATTTTGAGTTTGTCCGAAGAATAGACAGGAATGTGACGGTGAGGTGCAAACTGTGTCCAGGCCAGAAGCTGTTATCCACTGCTGGAAACACCACGTCAAACCTCAAGAAACACCTGCAAAGAACACATGCTAAGGTGAAGCTAATAGCTAAGGATCCCCGAACCCAGAGTGAGGATGTTGTGAGTGTGCCGCCGCCGACCCCGAAGCAACACAAATTAGAATTTGGAGGACCGGTAACCAAAGCAGAGATGGACAGGCTTGTAGTATCCTTCATAATAGAGGACATGTTGCCCATTTGCACAGTGGAATCACCATCGTTCAGAGATATACTGCGCAAAATACAGATAGCAGGAGACAGAGGACAGCCATGGTCAGATAGGAAAACATTCAGGATCTGGATCAGTCTTATGCGACAATGGAAACTGAACTAAAGAGAACATTTGAAACTTTAGCAGTCTGCGTGATCTGCCTGTAGGGAGGGGCGGGCCGACCCTGCGAGTAAAGTAACGAGTAAAGTAACGAGTTACTTTATGTAGAGAGTAACGAAGTAGTGTAATATATTGCTTTTTTTTTTTAAAGGAATATGTAATATATTACTTTTTTTTAGTAACGACCCCATCTCTGATTATACAGCATTCCTCATAATATAACGTACAAATATAAGAACAACATAAAGAATACAGTGAAACAATTATACACATTGTCAATTTGTATTCCCGTAGTTGAGCATTATGTTTACAAGCCCCTCTAAATGCCTGGCTGTTCAACGAAATACAGGGACAGCGACATCAGGATAACATTTTAGGGAGGATGAAACGGTGGATTACGTATTTTGTAACCCTAGTTATATAAGCACAGGCGGAGCTTTCAATGGCCTCAGTAGAAAATTGGCCCTTTCGGTGTCAGCCCCCCTTCGCCAGCCGGTGCAACAGCCACTGTACCCTGTGGTTTTCCATGGCTCGGCGAGACAATCCGCCCTTGGGGGTGGACGCGTTTGCACACGGCCAAGGAAGCTGCTCTATGCCTTTCCACCGGTACGCCTCATTCTCCCCCTCCTGGAGAGGGTCATCCTAGTGGCCCCAGACCACCGCTTGCGTGCACATTCAGGTAGGCCCGCCCCAGGGGGCCGGATATCTCAGTTGATGAATGCTCGCATAGTATGATTAAGAGGTAGTACCCATAGAGTCCAGTAGAGGGCGGAGCCTGTGTGAGATATAACTCAAATCAAGAGCAGGTCGGGGAGACGATGATTACTTAATTTGCATATATATTGGTCACACGCTTCCAATCATGATAGATGTTATGTTTTTCAAATATGGAATTATGGGAGAAAAAGGGGCGAAAGAAAATCAATGAGGTGCTATTATTCTCTTTCCCTTATTGGATCTCCTCTTCATGTTCATATATAAGGTACAAATCCAGGGTCAGAGGTCAACCCATCCGACATTTCTCATCTTGAACAGCTTCCATTTTAATGTATTCAACTGCAAAATGTCTTTTTTGTATCTTCTGGTAATAACCTGATGATAGTTTACCCAGCCTATATTTTTCAATTTCATGACTTGGGGCTGCTATCTTTTGTCTCTCCCCCTCCATGAAAATATGAACTTTACATCATTTGGAGCTCACTTCCGTAATAAAGTGAACTTCATATCATTTGGAGTTTGCTTAAGTTCATAACAGACATTGCCAGAGAGCCTTCAGCTTAGTCGCAAGAAAAATAAAGACTCCCCTTCATTCATTTTTCATAGCACTTCTCTGTAATAACAGTAATCGAGGAGGGTCACAGTGACCATGACACTCCTTATTTTAGATTGCTTATCATTCTAATGACATCAAAAATGATTGTTCCCATTTCAATTTAGTCATGCACTTTTTCAAAGATCATTGAATCTGAGTGTGAATAGGCACATTTTCCTCTAGTTTCTTAATATTGTACATACAAAATAAATAACTTAGAGCTGTACATGTGGTTGAGAATCCATCAAAAATTATTATTTAAACAAAAGTAATTAGCACCTATCATCTATCTTTCTTCATGTATTGGGTGGGATTGGAGGATCTATGGGACAAGCAAAAACTGGACTCTTCCAAGAACCGACTTAAAGTCCTGCGTCCAAGACCAAAAGTAGCTAGTAAGCAAAGTCACGTAACGACGGTAATGTGCTAAACATTACATTTTTAACCTAAACATCAACATCATTAGTTCTGAATCTAACTGCATAGTTTTAGTGCCTTAACCTTAAAGTAACTGAAAGTGAAACCTCGGAAAACTGTGACCCTTTCTTAACGTTGGATATGCACCTTTTTCTCACTGGTGGCTGCAGTTGGCCCCTTCTAAAGCAGCAGAGTGGTAGAGAAAACAACTGGATACGACCTGTTACTGTCCTGGTAATATTCGTACTTATGAGAATTTAGTAGCCAAGATATAAATCCACCACTGTTATTTCTAGGCTGTTATGTAAAGCTCATTACAACTGGAAATTGCTCTGCCATCACAGTAGAAAATGTAGACTCTTCCACTCCCACCTTAGCAGGGGCGCCGTAATGGGGTGAAAAGTTAGGACGATTCTAAGGGCCCGTGACTGACAGGGGCCCAAACAATTTTAGAACATTAAGAAACAAATGTTTAAGTAACCGATGTGATATCTTTTCATGGGGCCCAAAATCCCTGGCGGCGCCCCTGCACCTAAGTCCCAGAAGGAAGGTTATCCAGAACCACTGTGAAATCGGACATATTGTGCTAGTTTTCAGGTTCATATTAGTATTTTAAGCTACTACTGTGTCATGTTTCCATGCTTTAATGTTCGAAAAGCTCTTTATTTTTCTCATACTGGCTGTGCTACAGCACCTCTTTTCACCCTCTGTCTGAAACCAGAGCCTAGTCTGCTCTGATTGGTTAGCTGGCCAGCTCTGTTGTGATTGGTCAACTGCCTTAAGATGTGTAAGAAATGTCCCACCCCTATCGCGTACAAAGAAACTCCCTCTGGAGGGAACTTTGGCATTTTAGCCTTTGCAGACCATTTACATGCACATAAACCTATATAACACACTACTGGAAAGGGAAAAACCCAAAAAGCACAATAGGGCTTATTGAAGCATTTCTTCCACCGTACAGTTAACCCCATCCTGACTTGTTTCTAATACGATTAACTCAATTGCTTTTCTCCTCTAAAGGTGTAAGGCCAGAGGTGACCCGGAGCCAGCCATCCACTGGATCTCTCCTGAGGGCAAACTGGTGTCTAACTCCTCCAGAACGTTGGTCTACAACAACGGGACTCTGGACATCCTCATCAGCACGGTGAAAGACACCGGCTCCTTCACCTGCATCTCCTCCAACCCGGCCGGCGAAGCCCACCAAACAATAGAGCTCATTATAATAAAGCTCCCCCACATCTCCAACAACACCAACAACATACAGGAGCCCGACCCGGGATCCTCAGACATCTCCACGTCGACTCGAGGAGGGGCCAACGGGAGCAACGTGACGGGCGACGTGAAGGGCGGGGTGGACAAGAGGGTGGTGACAGCCGAGGCCACGTCATCAACGGCGCTGATCAAGTTCAACTTCCAGAGGAATATTCCGGGAATCAGGATGTTCCAGATACAGTACAATGGGAGCCAAGATGACTCGCTGGTTTACAGGTAAGACTGACAGAATCACCATGAGTCAGACAGTTTACGCAACAGAAACATGATATGGTTGATGTGGGAGGTAGAGGATAACCTGAGCTGTATAGATTACATTACAGTAGGTTAGATGCAGCTTTAATGATACTGTGGGCAGGAAACGCTACCAGGGTGCTAAGATGCTTTGTTAAGGAAAGATAGACTCGGAATAAGCACCGAAAATGTGAAAGATGCCCAAAGGAAAAAAAGGCATTAAGGGCTATGTAATGTGCAGATTCTTCAGTATGAGGACATTTGCATAAGTATAATGAATGTTATCTTGTCATGAACAAAAAGAAAGGCATTGTTTTTATCAGAGTACATGCACAGACTATTTCTCACGGCTTTATTACATTAGAGCACAGACGGTTCATATCAGGGCACATTAGACCAACACGGAGATGAAATCGGGATAGACAGCACTGAAAATGCAAAGTGAGAAGGTTCACAATCCGAGGGAAATAATGCTGCTGACTCACCGACACGGCCTTGAAGGCGAGAGCTCTGCGGGGCCCTTCTTAACTTTGGCTGTGTACTCAGGATTACACAGATTAGATCGATCTCGCAGGGAATGATTGTTGTTTGAGCTAAATATTTACTCCAGTGAAATGGGGGAGAGGGAATTAACAAACACATACAGCTTCTGTAGGGATATGTGCCTGTATTATCTGCCTTTCATATCTGCTGCTAAACCCTATACATACTTCATCTGTATGTATCATCATCAAGAGTTATTAGGGGGGGGGGGGCTTTGACATGACCGTCTGGGTCATGATGGTGACTCTAGGTTAGGGGTGGGCGATATGACGATATATATCGTCGTGACGATATTAGGTCTCCACGATATGCTTTTTCAGAGATATCGTCCTATCGTGATAAAAAAAATTAAAAAAATTGAAGAAAAAAAATAGAAAAAAAAAATAGCGGGAGGGGAAGAGGCTCTCCGTGTGCGGCGCAGGGGGCTATGACAGCGGACGGAGAGCCTCTTACCCTCCCGCTCCCCCAGCCTCACCTACTGATTTTAATTTCACCATATATCAAGCCCGATCGATTTCACAATGTCAGCGCACCTCTGCTTTCGTTCAGTTCGAGTTGTTTGACACGCTCCCAAAGTCCCCGCCCCCTTTCTTTGCAGCGGGAAACTACACTGTTGACAGTCTGCACACACAGCAATAATGGACGGAGAGTCAGATTCTGATGTAGAACAATTAGATTTAGTCCCCAAAAAGAACTCTACATCTGTGATATGGAAGTATTTTGGCTATAAGACAACAGACACGGAGCAAACAAATGTCATTTGCAAAATGTGCAAACAAGGACATTTCAAAGCGACAGATGGCAACACGTCGGGCTTACGAGACCACCTCAAACGCAAGCACCAGAAAGAGCATGCAGAGACTGTAAGAGTGCAAGGTCCCCCGCGTGTGAATGCACAATCTACCGCAGCGACTGCACCAAAACAAACTACCATAGGTCAGGCATTTCATAAAGGGGCTCCTTATGAAAAGACTAGCAAACGGTGGAAAGACATAACTGACGCGGTGGCGTTTTATGTGGCCAAAGATATGCAACCAATACAGAGCGTGGAAAACAAAGGTTTCGTGAGGCTGATGAAAACAGTTGACCCATGGTACCAGGTGCCCAGTCGAAAATATTTTTCTACAAAGGCCATTCCACAAATGTACACTGAATGCCGAGAGAAGGTACAACAGGAAATTCAAAATGTCCAGTTTTTTGCTACAACCAGTGATTTATGGTCTAGCCGTACGTCAGAACCGTATATGAGTCTGACCATTCATTTCATTCACAAGTGGAAGCTGCAAAGTGCATGTCTCCAAACGATATACTTCCCGGTAGACCATACAGGGGAACTAATCGCACATGGCCTAAGGGACTTACTTCAAGGCTGGGGACTGAAAGAGGAGAACATGATCTGCATGACCACAGACAGTGGAGCCAACATGGTTAAAGCTTTGGATCTTAACGCCTGGACTCGCCTGCAGTGCTTTGGTCACAGACTTCACCTGGCCATCGGTGAGTGAAACAAGTATTATATTAATATATGACTACAAATGATACGTTTCTTCATTTCGTGTGTGTTTGTGTGTGATGCATTTCAATAAAATATATAAAAATCCATATTTACAAAACAAGAAAAAAAATAGTAGAATTAAAAATATAAATAGTTTAATGAAAATGTGAATCAAAATGTATTGTGTGATTAACCAATTAAGTCCTATTTAAAAAAATATATATATATTTAGTAGTGATAATAAATATTGCATTCTACAAGCTCGGCCAAACTTTGCATTGTTATGCAAAATAGTTGGCAGAGGAGGTTAAACCAGATTAATAAATCTTCATCTTCTATTTCTTAGAAAAAAGTGCCAAAGACCCTCGTGTTGATCGCACAGTGTCCATCTTGAAGAAAATGGTCAGTGCATTCTCCTTCAGCTGGAAGAAAAAGAGGGAGTTGGCTAGGCTTCAAACAGAGATGAAGCTACCTCCGCACAAACTCATCACCGACTCACCAACTCGATGGGGCTCCAAACTCGCTATGATTGAGAGAGTGTTGGAACAGGAAAAGGCCATTTCTGAGATCCTTAAGGCAGACAAGAAGACAAGGTGTTTGGTCCCTGGATACAACGAAAAGGATGTGATGGAGTCTGTAGTGAAGGCCCTGGGTCCACTATGGGACTTCACAGATGCACTCTCAGGTGAGTTTATTTAAATGTTTTATTATTTATATATGTTTTAATTAGAAAAGTGGCAATACAATCAATACAACTCAATATACAAACATAATTACTATTTGTCCTCTTTTTTTCTTTTCTTTTTAGGTGAGGACTATGTGAGTGTGTCTTATGCAAAGCCAGTGCTTCACCTGTTCAAAGAACACCTCTTAAAAGCGGATGATGACGACACTGACCTCTCAGGAGAAATGAAGATGACCATTCTCAACTACCTCACTGACAAATACAAGGATCCCAAAACTGATGAACTGCTGGATATGGCTTCACTTGTTGATCCAAGGTTCAAAATAAAGTACATTGACAGTGACAACTTAGAGAAGATACAAGCCAGAGCTGTGTCTGAGCTTGAGTCCTTGCTGACTGTCACTTTACAAGCACAGTGTCCCGCAGCATCTTCATCTAACTCCACATCACAGAGCCTTGAGGCAGAAGCAAACCAGGGCCCCCACAAAAAGAAAGCTAAGAAAACACTGGCCAGCTTTTTGAAGACCTCTGTAACTTCAGCTGGCACATCTGCTGCTTCTCCATCCCTAAAAGAAGCAATAGATGCAGAATTGAAGTCCTACCTGTCCGTACCAAATGCAGACAGTGAAATGGATCCTCTGGAATGGTGGCAAAACCATGATGGAAACTTTCCAAGGGTTAGCCAATTAGCTAGAAAGTATCTCTGCATTCCGGCAACTAGTGCTCCCTCAGAGAGAGTGTTCAGCACTGGTGGCAATATTGTCACATGCCAAAGGGCAACTCTCAAGCCAGAGAAAGTTGACAAACTGATTTTCCTGGCAAAAAATCTGTGATTGTGTTCTGTCAACAAGAAAAGAAAAGTAAAACAAGTTTAAAAAAAAGAAAACTATACAATGTGAAGACATGCTCTAAAGCTGTCTAGTCAGGATTCAGACAGTTTTGCACTTTATTGATTGTCTTGTTTGATTCTGTTGGCTTATATTTGTTATATAATAATAATATGTTTATTGATGTTCATGTTTATTGTTGTTCACTGCTCACTTGTTCATTTCAGAAATAAAACCAGCTTGAAATGCTATTTTGGTCTGTTACTCCTTTTTGTTTTAGTTTCTGTTATCTTGTAGGTGCTTGTACTGTTAAGTAACTTGAAAAATAACAATAATAACCGCCATGAAAAAATATCGTGATATATATCGTCTATCGTGATACTGCTTGAAAATATCGTGATAACATATTTTTCAATATCGCCCACCCCTACTCTAGGTTGGATGTTTTTCGTTGTGATCTTTGATCCATTACAGTCTTCATCTCTGTGTGACTACACCAATATGATTAACAAACAGATCATGCATAGGACAATGTGATGGTATTATCTGCCGTGCATATTATTCCTAATCTCTGTACATGATTCATCAGCACTCAACTCCATTCGTCACGCAACATCGAGAGACGCCACTGATAGGATTTATGGGGTCGGTCGTGCTAAAGAACTTGTTTTCCACATCAAGAAAGCCGATCTTCCTCTCCATCTATCTCTTATTCTCAAAAGTGAAACCTATAGAAACTGCAAGCCTTTCTTAAAGTTAGATATGCACCTTGTTGCTTACTTGTGGTTGCAGTGTGCCCCTTCTGAAGCACCACAGTTGTAGTGAAAACAACTGATTACCACCATTTCATAACCTAATAACATATGTAGTAATGAGAAGGGTTATGGTTAGGCACCCAACATGTACAGTACTGTGAGTCCACCCTTTCTTAACGTTGCATATGCACCTTTTCATGCAACATCGGGAGACGGTGCCGATAAGATTTATGGCCTTCGTTCTTGTTAAAGGTCTCGCTCTCAACTTCTAAATACCGCTCTTCCTCTCCGTCAATCTTTTTTATTTTCAATTCGACAAAAGCCTGCATTTATACTTTTATGCCCTAGACTTTGAAATACAAGTGCTTCCTGTTTGTGGATGGAGGAGCCACCAACCACCAAGATCATTATCGGCCTTTTTCCCTCCAACATTAGGCGCCAAACTCATTTGCGTTTCTCCGTGTTATTTTGCAGCTCTCCTGTCTTTTGATAGCGGATTGATTTCCAATCAACGCTACAGCTTGCACAAAGCAGCAACCCATTGATTCTGTTTTCTTCATTACCCAAACACAGAAGTAAGAGAAAAGGAGGAAAACAAAAGAGTGAGAATGAGAAAGGACGTGTTGAAGACATAAGGGGGGGTGGGGTGGATACGAGAGGAAGACGGACAAGGAGAG